AAGTCACAACCTTAGGTTATCCAACCAGCTGTTGATGATGATACATATGTTGAATTGTCAAAAAAACAAAAAAGGCGTCAAAATCGGCGACAACAATCTCAAATCCCCTCTACTGTAGAGGTTCGTAACTTCTTTGACCCTCTGGAGATGGAAGAACTTCAGAACTCAGAAATAGGAGTCCATCCTCCTCACATACACATGAAAGATCCCCTATAGAACCTCCATGAGCCAATCTCCAAATTTAATTCAGTGGAACTGCAGAGGACTTTGGAACAATTTTAATGAAGCACAATTATTAGCACAAGATTTTTAACTGTGAGGCTTTAGTTTTCAAGAAACATTTCTTAAACAAAATGATAAATTTGAAATGCATCAGAATATTTCTTATCATTCTATTTCACCACCGTTGATAAAGCCACTGGGCATTATCCACCACCCTGTTTCTCTAAACTGCAGCCATTGGGCTGTTGCTGTTCGTCTCACTTTACAAATAACCGTCACACTTTGTTCCTTGTATATTTCTCCATCTTCAAATCTTCAGGATTCATTTGACCAGCTCCCTAGGCCCTGTATCATCATGGGTGATCATAATGGACATAACCCTCTATGGGGAAGTTACATTACCAACAATAATGGAAACGTCTTGAAGACTTCATTTCAAATGGTAAAATAGTAATTTATGCATATTCAACGATGGCTCGAACACTTATTTCCATCCTGCAACCTTAACATACTCTGCATTATATCTGTCAATCACAGATTTTAATATATACAATGAATTTGAATGGTCAGTTCATGATGACCTTTGTGGCAGTGACCATTTTCCGACAGTAATGACAGCTATTAATCCCGCCGGTGATCCACCTAAAACACGATGGAATATTTCCAAGGCCAATTGGCCATTATTTCAGGCCATCTGTACTGACAAATTGCAACAAGACCTTTGTCTGGATGTTCATGACCCAATTCAATTGTTCTCCAATCAACAATCGATTAGTTTGGTTTTTAGATATCCAATGCGGTTTTCGTAAAAACCGAAGTACAATTGACCATTTGGATCGTTTTGAATCATTTATTAAGAATCTTTTTTTTAAAATAACATGCTGAATCTATCCCTTTTTAATCTTGAAAAAGCTTATGATACCACTTTGAAGCATGTTTTTTTTAAAAGATTTACATGACTTTGGTTTAAGAGGCTGCTTGCCTCAATTTGTAGCGCAGTTTTTAACAGACAGACAATTTCAAGTTCATGTTGGATCAACCCTGTCTGATCATTATAATCAGGATCAGGGGGTTCCACAGGGCTCACATTGTCTCACATTGTTTAGTATAAAAATAAATAGTTTATTTGAACAATTAAATGACTCAATTGATTGATCATTGTTTGTGGATGACGTTTATATTTCATGTCGTGGTAAAAATATGCGTACCATTGAAAGACAATTACAGTTGTGTCTTGATAAAATTCATAAATGGTGTCTTCAGAATGGATTTAAATTTTCACAGACAAAGACGAATTGTATATATTTCTGTCGGAAATATAAACCCCATACAGACCCAGAGCTCTTTTCAGATGGCACTCCATTTAAGGTTGTAAAAGAAGCCAAATGTTTGTTTGGGTTTGATCTTCGACCACCATTTGACTTTTTTTTGCCACATATTAAATATTTAAAGAAAATTTGCCTGAAGGCCCTATATTTGTTGAAAGTCGTCTCGAATTCTAAGTGGGGAGGGGATCAGAAACTCTCCTTCACTTATATAGATCATTAATCCGCTCTAAGTTGGACCATGGCTCCATTGTGTATGCCGGAGCTTGCAAGAGTAATTAAAAAAAGCTAGATGCAATCCACCATCAAGGACTTAGACTGTGCCTTGGTGCTTTTCCTGTTGACAGCCTCTATGTCAAGGTTGATGAAACCTCTTTGAAACAACGCCGTATTAAGTTATCTCTTCAATATATCACTTAATTACACTCCAGCCCTTCATATCCTGCCTATAACTCCGTTTTTCATCCCCTATATGATGAACTGTTTCAGAGAAAACCAAAGCCGGCTCCCCGACTTTGAATTTTATGTTTTTAATGCTGATATAGATTTAGATATTATATCTCCTTGCCGACTTTTGTCTTCTCCCTGGCAGTTGGTGAGGCCAGAATTAGACATTTCCCTCACACGTTTTATAAAATCTGAAACTAATCAACTAGTATATCAACAAGAATATTTGCAATTAAGAAATAGATACGACCCTCACCGTTCAGTCATTACTGATGGATCCAAGGACGCTCTATTTTTACAGGGGGCACGGGTGGCCCAGTCGTCTAAGGCGCCGCGATTCGCTGTGCAGAGTTGCCTCCCTTGGGCACGCAAGAAACCTATGATTGTGATTAAATCCCGTTTCGCCCCGATTATGTTTCTAGGTTTGTCAGCACCATACCCGTGCTCGTAGGTTTCACCGAAGTGGTAAACGTCTGAGACTTGCATCACTTCGGGCTTTCCTCCCACATTAAGCTGACACGCCATGGTATAACTGGAATACTGCTAAAAGCGGCGTTAAACCCCAACTCACTCACTCTATTTTTACAGCTGATGCCAATGATATCCTCAAAGCCTTAGTATTAAAACAAACAAAAAATATAAGCAATTTTTTCATCTTTTCTGATTCTTTATCTTGTTTATAAATTAAAAAAAAAGCCTGTTCTAATCATCCAGTTATTTTAGGTATTTTAAAACTTTAAAATGATCTTTTAACTGGCCAATACGACATCATCTTTTTTTGGTTGCCAAGTCATGTGGGCATAAAAGGCAACACAATGGCTGATGCTGCTGCACTCAACAAATCTGAGACACCACTTCTATTTCCATATACTGATTATAAACCTGGGATCAGATGTTACATCCGAGATCTTATGCACAAGAAGTGGGACACCCAAGTAGGTATCAATAAATTACATCAAATTAAGCCAACTGTCCGTTACACCTACTTGGATTGTCAGTCCAGATTTGAAGAGGTCATTTTACGACGATGTCGTATTGACATTCAAGATATACACACACATATCTATTAAAAGGTGAAGATTCTCCGTTTTGTATCCCTTTTGATGAGAGAATCAGTCAAGCACATACTGCTTGACTAAACTGATTTTGCCATAACAAGGGATCAATATTTCAAAGTTTCATCCACGAAGGATCTTTTTATTAATCTAAGTTCTCTTTTAATCATAGGTTTTTTAAAAGAAATAGAATTAATTGATAAATTTTGATGTACATAGATATTTTTTACGAAATGGTTGTATCATTATTAACCTAGATTGTTTCTGGCTGTGCCCTCGAAGGGGGTTGAATTGGCATAAAATTATTGTCCTCCTGAGAGGGTGTCATAAGACCAAATCATTCACAGCAATATATTAACAATATTAGAGCCTTATCCTGTCAGCAAAATCACAGCAATATATTTTAGACCTTCATTGTATCAGCGATATTAAAGCTTCGTCATGTCATCAAAATTAGAGCGTTATCATATTAACAATATTACAGCTTCGTCGTGACAAAAGTACAGTTACATCATGTGACAATAATCACAGCTTCATCACATAACAAAATCATAGCTTAATCATGTGACAAAATCACAGCTCAATCATGTGACAAAATCACAGCTTAATCATGCGACACAGCTTAATCATTACAGCATTATCATAATTACAATATTACAGCTTCAACAGCAATACTAGTATTTCAGCTTCGTCATGTCAGCAAAATTAGAGCGTTATCATATTAACAATATAACAGCTTCATCGTATCAGCAATATTACAGCTTCGTCATGTCAGCAAAATTACAGCTTTATCATATTTACAATATAACAGCTCCTTCAAACACTACAGCATTATCACATGATAAAATCACACATTCAACAATTGACAAAATCACAGCTATGTTATGGGACAAATCACCTATTTGATCAGTTCGTACAAAATCACAGCTTCATCACGTGAAAAACATCACAGCTCCATCACGTGACAAAATCACAGCTATATTATGGGACAAAATCACACCTTCATCACGTGACAAAATCACAGCTTCATCACGTGACAAAATCACAGCTTCATCACGTGACAAAATCACAGCTACATAACGTGACAAAATCACAGCTTCATCACGTGACAAAATCACAGCTTCATCACGTGACAAAATCACAGCTATATTATGGGACAAAATCACACCTTCATCACGTGACAAAATCACAGCTTCATCACGTGACAAAATCACACCTTCATCACGTGACAAAATCACAGCTACATAACGTGACAAAATCACAGCTTCATCACGTGACAAAATCACAGCTATATAATGGGACAAAATCACAGCTTCATCACGTGACAAAATCACACCTTCATCACGTGACAAAATCACAGCTTCATCACGTGACAAAATCACAGCTTCATCACGTGACAAAATCACAGCTATATAATGGGACAAAATCACACCTTCATCACGTGACAAAATCACAGCTTCATCACGTGACAAAATCACACCTTCATTACGTGACAAAATCACAGCTTCATCACGTGACAAAATCACAGCTATATTATGGGACAAAATCACAGCTTCATCGCGTAACAAAATCACAGCTTCATCACGTGACAAAATCACAGCTTCATCACGTGACAAAATCACAGCTATATTATGGGACAAAATCACAGCTTCATCACGTGACAAAATCACAGCTTCATCACGTGACAAAATCACAGCTTCAGCAAATTTGATCAGTTCGTACTCAGAAACTTCCCTTGTGTTAAAAAACCAATCTCCATATTCTGAACCAGGGTCCCATATGTTGAAAGAAGGAAAATACTACATATTAAAACGTTCCAAAAATCCACCAAAAATGCAAATAGAAAAAAGAATAGTCCATTGTACGATTCCGACTATATCATACACAGCTTTTTGAAAGCGTTACTAAGGCCTTGAGTGTTGTACCTCTGCTCGTTGAGCGCGAGTGGCATGGCACTCTTTTAGTACAGTTAATATTGTCTATAATGCCTGAGTCAGGGTTTCTTGCTCTCTGTCGTCCATTGCTAGATCATCTTTGTTGTCTTGTGGAATGAATGCTCTGGCCAATCTCTGGATAAAAGTTGGTAAACAAAAAGTTCGTAATTCAATATGTGCATGCATGATTTTATTGCAAGTATAGTTCAAGTATTGAACCTTCTCACGTATAAGGTATTCGTTGTTTTGGAGGGTGTAACATTAAACAGTTAGAAGACATTGAACATCGCAAAATCAGCATTCAGCCACAAAATACCAAATACAAAACACAGGGAGTTTGTTGTTTAACGCCGCACTCAAAAATATTCTAGCTATATGACGGCGGTCTGTAAAAAATCAAGTCTGGACCAGACAATCCAGTGATTGACAACATGAGCATTGATCCATGCAATCGGGATACGATGACATGCATCAACCAAATCAGCGAGCCTGACCACCCGATCCCGTAAGTCGCCTCTTACTACAAGCATGGGTTGCTCAAGACCAAGTCTAACCCGAGATGTTCTTTTTAATAGTATACCACTGGACATATAGTCGAAATAGTCGAAATATAGAACAGATCCCTTCAGTACTTTACATGGGCGGATAGATTATTTAGAAAAAAATCTTTATTTCTGTATAAATTACCACCAAAGACAATAAATAGATTTTAATTGTGCACCTCCCCTTTTCAAAAAAGCTGTATCCGCCCATGCTTTATGTCATGGAAAACATAAAAGAGTAAGTTTGTTGCCCCTCTTTCTCTTTTGGCCAACTTTGGGTTGTTGTTTTATCGCTACTGAAATGAGTTTTTTCCACGATAACTTGAAAATGTTACCTGCTTGACTGATGTCCCATCTGACTTCCAAACAGAGTAGACCATCCAACCTGGAGTCGGTAGAACTATGGCTACAGATATAAGCCAGCCAATCACAGTTGCCCATTCAGGATAGATGTAGTCACCATATTTTGGAGGACGGTACACGTAGAAGGCGTATACTAGTATAGTCTGGAAACAATTTTTTAATAAGTCCTTTATACTATTCTCACAAGCACAGCCCGACACATAAACTTCAATAAATGCCGAACAAGATGGGATATTTCGCGAACGAGCTAAATGATTCAGAGATTGTCGTTCCTGAAGGTTGTAGTTTTCCTCGCAAAAGTTATTCTCTACATTAACTTGTAGACGAGCAATATATATACATCTATTACATGATGATACAATAAAGGTAATGGACTGTATTATGCCACAGAGTGAGTTTGACCAATCAGAGAGAAGAACTACTAACCCCCTTTGAGACCGCATACCGTCAGTAACAGCACTCTTGTTTCCAACACCCATCTCACATATTTCACATGAAAATTCTACACAGCTTTGTGCTTTTAAATCATTAACTATAACGTGCAAGGACATTACTTTTTTTTACAAAAAAAAGGTTCGTGACATTATTTATAAAGAAGTATAGTTAAATGTCAACACCGTTTGGTCTCTAAGGTTTGAAGAGTAGACTCCCTTTGACCCGTAACTTCAACGATTGTTAGTGTCAAGTTTCGACTTTGACATGACGTGTGATATAGGTAGTGTAAACTCTTCGGCATAATGAATCCGTTGTGGTATCTTTAGTTGTCGTAAACTGTGTCATATTAGGTTAACAGGATATTTGTCTGCACACCTAATATGACACTGTATACTGTAACTGAAGACACCATAATTAATGCTATATCGCCAGGAACTAAAGTAATGCTGTCGTACCAGAGACCGTGGGGACTTACAGTCACTCTTCCACCTGCACGGTACACATCATCCCTCTAGCTGCTGGGGATTATTGGCAAGAATGACCATAGATTAAAACGAATAATACACTAGGATGATAGGTAAGCACAAACATAACTGAAAAGGCGTGGAACACTCTCAGTGGACAATACCCTACGAGGGCACAGCAATTTACACTCTCATTCAAATTGCTTTGTAATATCATGTATTTGCATGAATGTTTGCAGCTGTTAAAAGATCCGTAAGTGATGTTGCGTTGACATATTTAGCCCCTGTCTTGTAAAACACAACACAGTCGAGTATAAAATGCATGTCTTGTGTCATCACATAGGGATAGACATGGATGATCCTCACCTTTCAACAATTAGTCATGTGGATTACGAGAATGGCCAATCGTAGAATGGGCTTCTCAAATCTGGACTGAAAACCTAAGTAGGTGAAACCAATAGTTGGTTTAATTTCAGGAGTTTTTCGATGTGTGAAGCCCATTTCTGGTGTCCACCGCCGTGATATTGCTGGAATATTGCTAAAAGCGGCGTAAATCCATACTCACTCACTCACTCACTCACTCACTAATTCTAGGAATTGTATTAATATCTATTTGGGTGCCCTCTTTGTTTGCCTTAGATCTCTGATGTAACATCTAACAACATGCTTATAATTTCTGTATGGGATAAGAAAGAAAAAAACGTACACATGTTATCTCTACAAGGTCAATTCAATGAGGACATATCGTCGCAATATGGCTGAGATATAGCCCTCGCGACGTTACATTTGAACTCCCATATTGTTGTCAACTGTTGGGTGAACCAACTGTGCTGATGGCATAATGTTCTCAAGTGTGACGTCACGAACAGTAATTGTGTAACAAAATCGTAATGGATCCAGGCGACGTCATATTTCTACTGACCAGTCAGCATTGGGAAACACTAAGATTGGAAAGGAGTTACCATCGGATACTTGAACGTGGAACGACATTGTTGTCAAGCAACTAATCTGATGATGTAATGTGTTTTCTTTGTGACATCATAGACACTGATCGTAATGGAGGAACGTGACGTCATATAGCTTCAACTGACCATTCACAATCAGGAATCTCTAAGGTGGGTTATTATGGGAAAGTCATGACACTCGGTCAAGAAGGAAATAGTTGTAACACCTCACCATCAGCAGGCCAGGAGTGATGTACTTTATGAGGAACGTCAACCATCTGGGAATAGTTTTACCATACATCTCCACTGTGCACATGTCAAGTCTGATCACACCTGTAACGAAGACGTAGACAATGTTATAGACAAGACAATGTGCACATGGATTAAACGAGTGCGCAGGGTGACAGGTGTCATCATTAGATTGTTGTTTCTTTTCTTCAGGTACCATTAGTTACATAAAGGTGCAAGATTTGGCAGACGTTTGTTTTATTAAACATATGGTAGTTATGCCGCTGATGTCTGCAGAACGGAGCTTGTATTGTAATATAATTTGGTCACGTGTTACTTTAGGTCTGCCAGCCTATCGGTATCGCACCATTGCTTCCTTTAATGACATTGAAATATGATTTGAAATATGAATTTTACGAAACTCTTTTCATCTATCATTTCTGGAAAAAGTAGTGATTGATTTCCAGAAGGTCTTACCAACCACCCAGGCCAGTACCAGACACTCCACCACCCCAAACAACATCACGGGAGGGACAGCGGAGTACCAGTCTACGAGGGTCAACAGGTAGATACCACCCTGCGAGGAGAACGTATACACGATACTAATGGAGAACGTTGAAGATAAAGGTATTCATGTGTACATGCAAAATATATTTCAGCTGAATAAGAGATTAAGTTGCAAACGTTTGATCAGGGTTACAATTCTAGGCCTTGGTAAAGCTTTTAAAAGGTTTCATTCAAGACATTTGGAGAACATTTCGAAATCTGACGCATCCGTGACCAAACTGTCCGATGCAATTCCCGTGTGAAGACTTGAAGTGCCTTTGCATGTGTGTGCGGCGGGTGCCACCGGTTAGACAGAACACGCTCACCTGGTGTCATCACTATTTGATAGGGATTAAGAATTGCTTATTATATGTCGGAATTGTACAACAGACTCGCCTACTTAGCATTATAGAAAGGTGTTGTCACTTTTGTTTAATTAATTAAATGTAATTGGTTATTATTTAACAATGCACCAACAAACATCAACGTTGGTAAAAAATGATACAAGTTGCCCGTACGCATTTGTTGCACAAGATACTATGTAACGTGGTGATTAGAGCATACATCACTCTTACACATATGTACTTAACATGGACTGGTTTATAAGTGGGCGAGCGAGTCCAAATGTAATGCTCCGCTGGCAATATATCAGCCACAAAGTGACAACAGTAGGGTAAATAGGAATATAGAACACATGTGATAGATAAATATATAACATATAACACATAAAGAAATGTCAACTACGCTAGTCGCTTGTTATTTAAACAATATTCACGGTTTATGAAAAAGACCGATTTCTTAAAGAATTTTAAAAATGCATAGATTATCCGAACCATTGTGGCAATAAATTTCATGAGTATCGAATTCATCGCTGTTGGTATGATCAAATTGACTTTACACGTTTGCTGCTGAAGATGTTATGTCATGTGGGTGATCACCCTTAATGGGTTGTGCTAAAAATAGCTCATACACATTATGCGCATTATCATGGCCTTATTATAAGTGACGAGTGAATAGGAATACCTGTGTAGTGTACGGGAGAGTCAGAAGGAAAGAGGGAATAAAGACGAGAAGGAGAAGCAGCCACCGGTGTCTGGTCAGTTTAGGGAACTGGTCAGAAAGTGTCTCCAACAGTATCTCCAAACTCGGCATCTGTGAAACAACAAGAACCTGGTCAACTGTTTCATAAGTGTAAATATGCAACAAATATATAGATAGTCCCTGCCAGCAGATTAATAATTTATCATTAATCATTTACTTCCATTTTATATTCATTTCCCTGAGGCCCTTGAGCTCAGGCTAAGGGGGAATGTAAGCTCAAGTCATTCAAAGAATATTTATGTTTACAACCGTTTTAAGTCGCAGTGTATTTGTACATTTAAGATTGGTGGCTAACATTGCGTGCAATCCCCAACAGCTGTAGGAATGGTATCAATCCGCCTGGGGAACCGTGCAGGAAGCAGAAGTATTTTAAGTCCCAATGGTCCCTAGTATGGTGGCGCAGCTTGGTTACTGGCGATCTATAGCCCATTTTTCTATTGTGCTGTTAAACGATAGCTTATTCTTTTACATGGTCTCAAACTAGTTCTAAAAACATCTGCTATATGCTAGTTATTTTACTGTCCTTCGATGACAGGACTTTATCTTTATCTTACTCTATATGCACTTATTGTTTAATATTGCCTCGTCACAAAATGGCTGAAATATTGCCAAAGTGACGTTATATTTTAACTCACTCACTCAATCACTAAATTTATTTCAGACAAAACTTATCTGTTTTCTGGAAAATGTTCTTATAGTTATATATTTCTGTATCAAGGTATAACATCATAGATCAGGGCCAAAACAATATAATCTATAATAGTTCTTTTTACCGTTGTATCAAGGCCCAACGTCATCATCATCACAAAGACCAGCACCGACCACAACTGGGGCAAAGGGAGATAAGTCACTGCTTCCGGTAACACTGAGAATGCCAGATTCAGACCTGAAAACGAGTTGAGAGAGAATCAGTTGGTTGTATTATCATATTGTAATCCTCCTACATTCAACACACAATGTAAACAGGTTTAAGTATAAGTGCTGTCTCGTGAACATCTGGGTTAGTATTGATCTTGTAAGAGGCGAATAACGGGATCGGGTGGTCAGGTTCGCTGACATCCTTGATGCATGTCATTGTAATCCAATTGCACTGATCGATGATCAGCGATATCAATCACTGGATTGTCTGGTCCAGATTTCATTATATACCGACCACCGTCACATGGGTGGAATATTTTAGAGTGCGGCGATAAACAGAAAAACAAACAAACAAAATGCTACATAATTAACACAAACAAACCTGATGACTGGAAGTCGTCCATGTCGACCCCGGTCACGTAAGCCATGTGCCCCAGCACCGTGAAGATAGACAGTCCACAGAAGATGGTGATCAGAGGGTCCACGATGCAGGCGATCAGAGCCAGTCTGGTAAAAAGATGTCAGTATACTGTGACATGAATTTGCTCTTTTGTCATACTGCTTCTTTTCCCACAGTAGTAACGACGGCACTGTAGCTCACCTGGATATGTAGTCAACAGCTTAAAATATCAAATAAAGACATTTTAAAATTATTATATATAAATATATGAATACATAAATAAACTAACACTATAATGGAATGTGTTTGTTTGTTGTTTTACGCTGCTTTGCGCAATACACACCCCTCAACCAAACTGAAAGACGTATCGAATTCGGTTAAGAATTGGTCCCAGTGGAGGCATCGTAAGATGCGTCTAAGTGGATCGGGAGTTCATGCAAGGTGACTCTTGGTTGTCGTTAAACAACACACACACACACACACACACACACACACACACAAACAGAGAGAGAGAGAGAGAGAGAGAGAGAGAGAGAGAGAGAGAGAGAGAGAGAGAGAGAGAGAGAGAGAGAGAGAGAGAGAGAGAGAGAGAGAGAGAGAGAGAGAATCCCAAAGAATATTCTTTATGTAAACAACAGATACTGGTCCAGATAAACCGGTGATATAAATGTTGCGAGTGCGGGTCAAATATAACAAAAATCACACAGGTCTGTTTAAATACACACCTGTAGCAGTTGCTGTTTGGCTGGTTGTGACTGGACACTGTATTCGCAATGCCCTTACTGGTCCCCATGGAATGAAGAGCGTAACCACAGGCCTCGATCCACATCTGTGGAGAAGATGAAGCACAATGCATACAACATACGTCCTGATATATCTGTAATATTGCTAAGTTTGTGGTTCAACAAGACACTAACAACAACAAAGAACACTGAAAACGTCTCACATATATAAAAAAAAGTTGAAACTAGTAACGTATTCCATCGTTGTTGAAAATAAAGTTCTGAACCTACTGTTGGGCTTTTCAGCTTTCCAAAGTCCGGCTTGATCATGTACAGAAGTCCGTCTAGTGCCCCTGGCAACAAGGACCCACGGATGAGTATGACGGTACACAGGATGAGGGGTAACATAAATGTCACGTACACAATCTGAAAGTGAAATATACCTTTTTTTAATTAAATTTAATTAAATTAAGAATTTGTATATCGCATTTTCCAATGAACTACTGCTTAAATGCCCTTGGACCATGATTGGTCTTGTCAAAGGCTCTCTTGAAGAGACAGATGTCGAGTGTCTTTTTCAAATTGTCAGATTTTCTGTCTCTGTGATAATTTGTGGCAGATTGTTCCATAGCAATGGGCCAGCATGTTGAAATGACCTATCGCCATATGTTTTTGTGCGTGACTTTGGCACCACTAGGAGATTTTGATTGGAGAACGTGCAGGCTTGTGTGATACTATCTGTTCCTGTAAGTATGCAGGAGCCAAACGATGCATTTTCCTAATTTTCCTTCCTACATTTCTGCATGTAGTTCCCTTGATCACTATTAGATTCGATATCTCCCAACTTTCTAATTCATCATGCGAAAAGCCATTTACTACATCAGATGTCATTAGCGTAATCCTGGAAACATTAATCTTGTGACAAACCATTTCAAGGAAAGTGATCAATTATCAAATAAACTGAATTCAAATTAACGTCAATTATGTATTGAAAAAATATACTTTCTTAAAAACGCCAATGAAGGTAAAGAATAAATGGAAAATGAATACGGTGTATTTCCATTCAATTGTTTAACAGTACCTTCCCCGTCACTCGAATTCCTCTGAGCAGCATGAAATACATGGCCACATAGGTCAAGGCCAGACATCCAAACAATGGCCACCGAATGGAACCTGCATGGTCGAGACCATTCGAGATTTCCAGTGCATTAAACCTGTAACAGATATGTTCAATAACAACATGTTCAGTGCATTAAACCTGTAACGAATATGTTCAATAATATTTAACAAAACGTATTTGATCAGGGGAAAACAGCTAACCGCAGTTGTTACAGGCCAGTAGGGATTCAGAGTTGAAATACATACTAGCAACCTAGGCGAATAAGTGGATCATTTTTAACCACACATAGCAAAATATTATACTAGTATATAAACCAGATTTGCTATGTGACAAAAATTGATTATTTCCTTACCCACGCAATCTATCATAGTATCTTAGAAACAGTTTTGTTTTCTTAAAGGTTAAGTCGATATTGCATACCACCAGTTCAAAAATACCTGGTTGAGTATTTTTGCCGAAAGATATTTAAAAGGTTTGTAAAATTCAGAGAGTGCGTTTGGTGCAGTGCGGGATATCACCAAGGCTCAACAATTTTGCGTAACCTGCCTCCAGAATTCTTCAGTGGCACTCGCAACACTGACGCCATCAGTGGATCCATTCAGGTGACCCGACTGTGTCGTGTTAATGGGAGCTCGCAGTGGAACAGTGCCATTCACTGTGGTGTTCATCCCTTGGTGCCCATACAGCGTCGACTCCACGCAGCTGGGCGTGTTCCAGGGGTTGCCACAGGTGGACCAGGGCAGGGGGTTGAAGAAGGAGTTGAAGAAGTAGTAGAGATACCAGGAGAAGTACATGGACGTGTACATGGCGTACACCCACGACACCAACGCCGACCCAAAACCCAGACCTGATCGAATGACACAGATTATCGATGACGGATCGACTAATTATTTTCATCTGCGAAATTGAGACAGAATAGGTTTGCAATACGTATTCAAAAAAAACCATACAAACATTTTTTAACCCTAAATGTGCCTTTTAAAACATCAAGCAAACGATTTATTTTGTGGAGTAAAACCCGAGAAATATCTTTTCGAGCATTTGAGGAAACAGAATATTTATTTATTTTTAAACTATACATGTAGGCCCCTTATAATGTGTTGTAATGACTGATTGAACAATAGTCAATCTGAAAATGATACAAGTGCACCTTGAAGCTGTCCATTCTGTGTTTATTTTATTTCATGCTTGTTGTTCAACGCCACGCTCAGCAATATTCCAGCTGTCTGTAAATAATGTAATCTGCACCAGACAATCCACCAATTTAGCGATCCTGACCACCCGTTCCCGTCAGTCGCCTCTTACAAGCATAGTCGCCTTTTACGACAAGCATGGGTTGCTGAAGTCCTGTTCTACCCCGATCGTCACGGGTCTTATTCTGTGTTTCATCAAGTGTGATCATCATTAAGGCAGAAATTAGATGCAAAAATTGTTCATACTCAAGACATGGTATTTACAAAAATTACCTTACTAAATTAGAGTGAGAAAGCGAGTAGGTTTTACACTGCTTTTAGCAATATTCCAGCAACATCACGGCGGAGGACACCACAAATGGGCTTCAAACATTGTACCCATGTTGGAAATCGAACCCGGGTCTTCGGCATGACGAGCGAACGCTTTAACCACCAGGCTACCCGACCGCCCATACTAAATAAGAATACTTTTGGACCGACTGTACATGTTTTACTCTTATCACCTCTATTCACCATATGATGTGACCATAATTGTGACACTGACTGAAAAGGTTTACATTTCCGTGCAGTGATGTGTAGTTGGATTCTGATCCAAGCAGTGAGACCAAATTTGTTAATTTGTTTTGTAATTGAAATTACATATGGCTTATTTTTGATACCTTAAACACACATGAAACCCTTATTGGACTACAACACCAATACAAAATGTCATGTCAATCAAATCCCATTACAAAACTTCGAAACAGAAAAGTAATAGAATTATTACTTAAGGCCATCTATCTCAAGTCCTTTCCGACAAAAACATACACAAACACAAAATGCTCATTTTTCCACCTAAAACGCTTCACGATGTTCACCTATTACTTCTTTCTCGCAGACAAAAAAATTAGTAACATAAAAATAGTGAAAACTCTACCAGTAAATAAAACTAATGAGTGCATCTTAATTTACTCGAAATATATCTATATAAAATCATCAAAATGTAAATACCTTTCATGGCTGGACAAAATTTCCACACCTCAACAGGACCCCTCTGGTAGTACTGCCCGATGACGACCTCCAGGAAGTATAGCGGGAGAGAACAGAGACCCACAAACACCAGGTAGGGAATCAGGAAGGCTCCTGAGAAAAGGACCACATTCATCTATATGTGAGTAGGACTTTCCCATCGAGTTTAAGGATTACTCTGTGTGGGGAATTGAACCTCCAACTTGGGAGTGATGAGCGAAGCTTTATCTTATAAGCCACCAAATGTCTCATTTGATAACAAGAATATTCAGAATACAGTTAACGGCGGTATAACGAACTAAAGGGGGCCACTGGTTTTAGTTCGTTACATCCTTCAGCTTGATGTAAACGTAGTTTACTGTATATATGCAGGTTTCATTCGGGTAGGCTATATGCAAGTTTCATTTCAAACTTTTCCATCTTGCAATTTAAACCACAAGAGATTTGTAAAGTAATTTGAATAAGGATATAGTACTGATGTCTTTCAAAAGCATGATTGTATATTTCTTATATATATTCATCTCGGAAATTATGAAAATGGACGTTACTTTCAGCTTACTGCTGAGATATTTCTGACAAATATTCGTCACACAATACAGCTTTCACAAGACTCCAATAAGCATTGAACGTTTTGTCTTTGTTTTCTGTGGACACTTGGTTGCAACTTCAAAATTTAAGGTGTGTATCCTGTTGGTGTTGTCATTCATCCTGTGACACACGCATGCGTATTGATCCTGTATACATACCTCCGCCATTCCTTGCACAAAGGTAAGGGAACTTGAGCAGAGTTCCCTCTCCTACACTGTATCCCAACAACGTGATGATGCCATCCACTCGATGGCCCCACGTCTCTCTTTTGTCTGCAAGCATTATATGCATCACATCTTTAGAGAGCACTTGCTTCTTTGTCTCGTGTGGTGTCACTGAGTTTCGTTTGATCTGTTTCCTTATGCATATGAATCGGAATGTCTGCTCGGATTGGCAAAATGGAAACATGTGAAGATCAATTCATGCTCCAGGTGTATAAAAGACTGATATCTTTCAAAAATTATCAAGAAGAACGGTCCCTTCCACTGACTTAGGGGGGCACGGGTGGCCCAGTCGTCTAAGGCGGCGCGATCTGCTGTGCAGAGTTGCGTCCCTTGGGCACGCCAGAAACCTATGATTGTGGGTTCGAATCCCGGTTCGCCCCGATTATGTTTCTAGGTTTGTCAGCACCATACACGTGCTCGTGGGTTTCACCGAAGTGGTAAACGTCTAAGACCTGCATCACTTTGAGCTTTCCTCCCACATTTAGCTGACACGCCGCGAAATAACTGTAATAGTGTTAAAAGCGGCGTTAAATACAACTCACTCACTAACTCCACTGACTTAGGCAACTGAACTTGAAATAAAAGAGACCACTGGAACCGCCTCATCAGTTTCATAATTAAAATTTAGTGATATGCATACTTATTCAGAGTGACTAATTATTCACAAGACTGTGAGAGAGCAACCATTTCATTTTCAGGAAAGGATTTGGGTATGTGATCAACTTTTGTTTTCAAAATGTTTAGGAGCTCAGTCATGTTTTGCAAAATAAACGTGATCATTATTTTAGAAGAATAAAAGTAATGAACTGAATTTTTATTACTCTTTAATGTACTCTTCGGATGAGTTGTCATTTGCTTTCAGTAGACATCCGTCGATGTCGATATAACAAGTTTGACAGAGGTCAGATACAACAAGGTATTGACTTCAGTTCTAGTTCACATACCTTTGACAACAGTCACCTTTTCTTGGTCTCTGTTGGACATGCTGGAATCTGTGGTTGGTCTTGTGGGTTTTGCCTGTAGAATAATTTGTCAAGATTTATTATCTCACAATGGTATTCATACGTCATAGGAAGGAGGACACTACTTTCCAGATATATACATAGCTTAACGCCGGAGTGAGCATTGATCAAGCTATATGACTGCGGCCGGAAAATAATCGGTTCTGGACAAGACAAGTCAATGTTTGATATTTTGAGCAACGTTCCCGATAATTTAATCCCCTCTTGGGGGCACGGGTGGCCCAGTCGTCTAAGGCGCCGCGATTCGCTGTGCAGAGTTGCGTCCCTTGGGCACGCCAGAAACCTACGATTGTGGTTTCGAATCCCGGTTCGCCCCGATTATGTTTCAAGGTTTGTCAGCACCCTACCCGTCGGTTGCAAAGAAGTGGTAAACGTCTGAGACCTGCATCACTTCGGGCTTTCCTCCCACATTAAGCTGACACGCCGTGGTATAACTGGAATACTGTTAAAAGTGGGGTTAAACCCAACTCACTCACTCACTCACTCACTCACTAATCCCCTCTTACGGCACGCATTGTTTATTGTGGAAGTCTTCTAACCCAGAATCCTCACGAAGCCCATATCTAAATAAAGCTGCAAAACTCTTCCCATAGTCATAGGAAATCTCAACCAAAAGAAGTGTACGATTCTATCTGAAGCACGTTTTTTTATTCTATATAAAACAAATTGTGATGATTCTAGGTGTTCACGATAAGGTGCGCATATCCCGCCCCACCGGTGGTACGCGACCCGTGAGGATCCGGGGTAGAAAAGGTCTTCAGCAACCCAGTCGTAAGAGGCGACTAACGGAATCGGGTGGTCAGACTCGCTGATTTGGTTGATGCATGTCATCATATCCCAATTGCGTGGATCGATGCTCATGATGTCGTGATATGTGTTAAAATATTTCTTATAATTGTTAAATAATACATTTGGTGTAAGAAGTATATTTATTAAATATTTTATTCGAGAAGACATATATTGTTTCAAAAACATTAGTAAATATCTTCTTTGATAGGCATTTAGAAGTTGGAGTACTAAGTAACGATAAGAATTTATGGATGAACAACTTCTTTATTACAATTAAGAGCTTGGTCTGTAAGGACTGATTGGAGGTAGTTTTGATGTTTAGTGATAGCATCCAGGGTGAAGGACTTGGTCTTGCGATGATATCCGTTCTATGACAAGGTGTTGCGAGGCTTTCTGGAGGATGGCGCTTGCTGCTGGTGAGTTGACAGGGCTTCTTAGTTGAGGCCTTTGGCACGGGGTTGTTGTCTCTGCATCACATCAAGAACGTGAGGTGGTGGGAAGAATGGATGTACTTGTTCTCCAGGTTGTTGGGTCGGTTGATGGTTGAGATGCCACGTCTCCATAAAGACGACGAATAACTTCTTTGATAGGCATTTAGAAGTTGGAGTACTTTAGAAGTTAAGAGCTCTTAATTGTAATAAAAAGTTGTTCATCCATAAATTATTATCCTTACCTTAATTAGTAAATATGTACAAAGATGGGTCGCAAATCATCACCCATTCTCGATTGTTTTGCACCCCAAACAAAATAGATGGTAGACCCCAAGCGTGGCTGGCTGCATTGATTTGACAGATTAGGAAGTGATGAAATCAGGCGTTTATCGACCGATCAGTTTAATTCATACTTACCATTCAGCAACACCATCTGAAGCCCAGCTAATGAGCCCGGCTGCGTGTCAAGGCTCTTTATGAACACTCCGTGTTTCGCCACATATCTAGTTTTATCACGTGAAATTGTAATTTACTGTTTAGTATTATTCACAGCGAGCAATACCGTCATGTGTTCACACTATAGATGAGGAAACAAGAAATCCGCGAGACCTAAATTAGTTTTACCTATTGGAATAGCGTATATGCTGCATATAAACAATAAACGACTCGTGGTCGTTGTTTATCGTGCAATAACAGGCTTCGAGCGGTTTATTGTCCCTGAAGTGTGCTATAAACGACCACAAGTCGTTTTTTATATCAGATATCAGGTGAGGTCGCGTCCAAGATTATTGCACTTATATAGCGACGTGCATGCACGTGTGTGTGGCTGCTTGTACTAGTCCAGACTGATGCCGATTAATAGTGCTAGCTCACTGAGATACCATGCCCTAGTTTAACATGAATACCCCACTCAGAGACAGTATACTGACTCCGAGCCGACCAGTCCTTGTTTTAACCACTTAATGCCGAGCGCCAGACAGGGTAACAACAAGTACCATTTTTTAACGTCTTTTGGTATGACGCGGCCGGGGATCGAACTCCGGGCCTTCCGCTCTCCGCGGAGGCAGTCATATGAGATATCAACATTATGTACATACCCTTTAAGGATGTTCATAAGATTTACAAGTTTTAAAAATATTCATGTTTAAATAAATGATGTCTCCTTCAATACAATCCCATCGCGGCAATGTCGGACAAGACCTTTTTTTTATGAACAGGTGGGTTACATTTAACACTATAAAGAGAAAATGTGCCAAGTGGATGCCACGCGTTTATCTGCGTTGCCTAGCTACATTTAAGGAGGACAAATCACTACCCCCTCAAACATAGCATCATTCAATTTACGACGTCATCAAGTTCCGAGCGTATGTTCGAATCTCCAGAAATAACGTCATGATAGAATAAGGTTCTATTGTAAAATAAACTGCACCTGGATTTATCGCATAACTATCTTATTTACACACATGCAGCAAGCTATGCTGGTCCTTAAGGCTACAAAATGGATTGGGTGGTCGGGCTTTGTGACTTGGTTGACTGCATGTCATCGTATCCCAGTAGCAATCTTCTGTCGTTGCGTCACACAGCATAAAGAATATCACCACAGACAAACGTGTGCAGGAACTTTAAGGTTACCAAATGAGCTGTTAGATAAGGCTACAATTCCATTGACGAGTATACTGTAATGCCAGGTGAGCGTATCCTGCCCCATCGGTAATATAGTCACAAACACATGCAAGGTCAGGTCAAGTGTTCACCTTAACAAACACGAGAACAAACACGAATCAAAACAGGGAATCGAATTGAACATCATTTCGGTGACAGATGTCGTAACTGAGACTGTTGCTGCAATGCAAGGAGTCTTGTTTCTTGCTTAACGCCTGTTAATAATCGAGTCTGGACCAGACAATCCAGTGATTGACATCATGAGCATCGATCCATGCAATTGGGCATCAACCAAGTCAGCGAACCTGGCAACCCGATCCTGTAAGTCGCCTCTTACGACAAGCATAGTCATCTTTTACGGCAAGCATGGATTGCTGAAGACCCATTCTATCCCGGATCTTCACTGGTCTCACAACCAAG